ACTAACAGAGGAATCTGTCACCTCACAAGTGAGCAAGAAATGTCTGGGATGATCTGGAGATGGCTGAAGCCTGTAGTAGTGCTTTGAAAAGTTAACAAAAAACAACAGACGTCCACTTTGGCAACCAGGATTTAAGTTCGGTATCTCGGAGATTACTAATCTCCAAATTATTCGGGGCGTGGTGCTGGGGAAGCCGACAAAGGCTTGATAGCATCATATCAGCGGTTCTCAAGTAATGTGTTGAAGGTCTGCGTATTCCACTAAATAAAATGTTGAAGTGCATTTTGGGTAGATTTCAGTCACCAAGAAGCTGAAAACGGAAGATTCTCTGAACTGTTTTCGAAATAGGCTACGAAACCTAAACTGTTACGACCGATAGTCCAACCGCTAGCATAAGAGGCGATGGAAATCCCGCTGTGCGACAGAATCTGAGAAATTCAGAACCAGAAGAGAATCCCTCACTAATCTCAACATTAGTTAGGGACCAGCCGTCATGAACTAACAATTTACCAAGAACCAAAGATTAATGGAGGGCGTAGCACGATCAGAACGTCACAGTTCACGTCTTGTACCCAGGCCTCACAGAAGAATTTGACCGGGTGTCCCGTGAAGTCCTAAAACAGAAAGTTTTAGAAATGGGACTCGGTAACATACCGCTAGCATAGACTGGGATCCATCTGGAGGGCAGAAAGCTGTGCACGAAGGAGAATCGAGTGTTCTCTGTATGTTGAAAGGTGACCACTGGGGTGACGGAACAGTCAGTGGTCCCTATCCCCGAAACGTTCTGGATTGGTCATTACGTCTATAGGCAGACTTGGCGAAGCTATAGAGTGCCGCGACATACATCGAGGACTCAAACTAGAGGCTTGAAGACTTTACCAAACTGGAGAGGTGAGCTCCAGAGAATGGATTAGCTTCCAACATCAATAAAGGTCCAGTGATGTTCATCCGCACACCAATGGCGCAAAGATTCACATACCGTTTATGTGAAACCTATCTGTCCTACAGTGAGACAGAAAATTATTTAGGACTACTCCTGACATACAGATTAGATGCAAGTCAGAAATATGGAGGAGACGAAGCCAAAAGCACCACGGCAATGTATTTCGTGCGTAAACACCTAGGAGCACTTACTCCTGGGTTCATCACGCAGCTATGTGGAAATAATTTGCGACCCCATGAAGAAGCTTACAAAGGCACTGAACCATTACTACTAAAAATTGGTTCGCATAGAAAGAGTACAAAATACGCCACTGGACTGAAATGTAGCGAGTTTGATAACATTACTGCAACCCAATCGTTCAGTCACCTAGGGACGAGAAGTAAGCTTATGAACTGGCAGTAAAGCGGCGCATAAGCCAAAGCATCCAACTGTGGTAATTCTAAGGAGTAATCTTGACAGAATTGCCTATCAAAGAGCTGCAAAAAAGCAATGGACGACTTATTTTTCTTCACGGTTCGCCAGCTATGAAACTTTCTATCCACCGAAACATCAGTTAATAATCTCAGGATATGGTTAGATCATCCGGCAGGAATACGTTTGAGAGCATATTTAGGGGCACAGAATCACTTCTAGTGAACTGTACTGGTAAGACAAATATTCTGTTTATCTAAGCTTCTCTTTACGTGTATCACTAATTTTTTTACCTTTACTTTTATCCCCTGAAGTCTCGTTCTTTCCTTTTCCTTTATTTCTGTTGGGTATGCATACACCCATGGAGTATTATTTCTCTTACGACTAATCCTTCTACCTCTCCCTTTATTTCCTCGGTCCACTTAAATCCGGCTTAGCCCGCCTATTATCGTCTTCTATGGAATGTTTATGGGCCTAACTGCTGGACTGACTGGTTTAACAAAGTTAAGAAGTCCTAGCAACGCCACTTCCCTAGTGCATATGGCGCGTTCCCTCCAGATAAATTGAGGTAACCTCTCAAATGCGTTCAGAAAATCTTCAGCAGTCAAGGAGACGAATCGTACTGGGACCCATCAAGGATCCAAAACTGATTTGGAACAGTAGGTGGGCTTCAGTAAGTTAAAGGTTTTATCCAAACTCTTCAGGAAGATGCTGGATAAGCTTCGGAGAAGCAGTGTTTGATGTATATATCCTAGTGAAGTAGGGTCTTAACTACTAGATGAATTAACTGTGTCAAGAGAGGGACATAGGGAAACAACACAGAACAGATATCACAGCCAAAAGAGCCTTAAGCTATCTGACCAAACCGCCTGATGGTGTCTATTACCTTCGTCACAACTTTTACCCTAACCCTGCCATAACATGGGTAGACTTACTCGACACGTTGGTTGAATTTTCTCTTGGTGAAAGTTTTTGTGATTGATTTTTAACAAAATTGTACCATATGCTTTCTAGATTGATGGGAACTCATCTCCTGAAATATCACGTTGATTTCTGCGTCGAGCGATTCCATTGCGGTACACCTTCGGCATATTGGCAGCAGTATTTTTTGTTTTAGGCGAACTGTTTTGAAATATTGATATAATGAGCAGGTCAATGTCATCTACACAAATAGCCCACTTTATGTAAAAGCTATACCTTTTGACACAGTATCATTCATTGAAGACTACAAATGTCTCAAGATATCAATACAGTCTATTTTCGTGTAAAGCACTGTACTATTTTACAAGTAGATGCAATCGGTACATGAAAATCACCTACAAATGCTAACAGAACATTCTTTAAGAACAGAAGTTATGATGCAGGTGCGTTTGTCACCAAATGTAAGTTTGGAAATAAATTATCGTAAGTTAAAATGTTATCTAAAGGTGGATTTAATATATATTTGCACTGATTGGTGCAGTGTAATATGGGTTAAGTGGATTCAATGTATATAAAATATCTCTACTTTATTAATATTGTGCCACTGTCTGCTCAGCTGACTGCTAGGCTAGTAGATGTCGGTTTCTCATGATTGTTGCAAGTACAGTGCAGTGGAGAAGGCAGTTACTTGTTTAATTTCCCTTACTGTTTTACTTAATGCATTGACTCAGTGTATAGTTTTATCATATAAATGGATTGTGTTGATTATGAGAACTGAGTATGGTAAGCTTCATTGTTGTTAATCTGCTGTCTGTTATGCCATTTCCATTGACAATGTGTACTTAATGTCTACTCTTCAGTGTTCTTTACCACCAGTAATGGACATCAATCTATCCTGAAATTTCCACTTGCACAAAGTGCTATAGATAAAGTATTGAAAAGACAGAAGATAAAAGCCAGGCAACATATAGAAAATCAAGAGATATTTATAGATTTTCACGTACATTATGATTAGGGTTTTTGTTATCAGAGAAGCGACGTCTTCTCATTGGTTGTTTTCTTGCTGATGGTTGTTTTGCACTCCTTGTGGCCGTTTCTTAGAAAGTTAAGCCATGTATCTGCGAATCGTGTTTGCACACATTGAGTCTCCTGCGACCGGTTGGTGAGTCCCTCAAGATTAAGTCTTGCTTTATATATGTCCAAACCAAGTTCACTTTTAACGGTTTGAAAAAATTTGGGCATTGGGTATATGATATTCATTATAATAAAGGCTTTTGTATTTCCCAATGAATGAAAAACAAAACGATATTGTATTCTAAAAACAATATCGTTTTGTTTTTCATTCATTGGGAAATACAAAAACCTTTATTATAATAAGTCTTGCTTTGTTTTGTTCTCATGACTCCGATTCGGGACGTAAACACTGACGTAAATTGTTGTCTACAATTTCGGCTTGCAGTCAGCTCTCACCACAGCATCACGATTCAATGTCTAGACTGCATTATGTTACATTGTTATCCTCATCAACACTATGGGTCTGCATACCTTACAACATTTTACGTATTCTCTTGTGCTGTTGACACTATGCATAAATGTTAAGAGTGGTGACCTATGTACCTTATATTTGATGGCTATAGATTAATGAATATGCAAATGTATTTTCTGTACGACTCACAAAATCATGTTCGCTAGGCAACAGTTAGATTGTGGACTGGTTTCTAACTTACACATTAAGCATCAACAATCGTAGATAACACCGTTTAGAGGTTTCTGACTACTATCCAGTTTGTTTTCGTTCACCAAAATGCATTCAATCACAGTATATTCATACTTCTAATGCGGTTCACTCTTTTTTATTTTAAGTTCTGTCACAAAATACCACGTGTTTTTGATCTGATAATAAGAACAATTATGTTATACTTCTCAAGAAACTTCAAAGCCTCTTCAGCTTCAAGCCAGGTTAAAAATTCTTCAGGACGAATATGTTCTCCGAAAGCCTTTCTAAAACCAACTCCGACCGTGCTTTCTTCACTAGAGCGACTTGTAGATTGTTGCATGCTATAAATATCAAGGTGAAAGGCGTTGATTTTTCCAGGTTTCTACATATTAAGCAGACATATGGACCATCAACAATAGCGGCAACCAACAAACAGACAGGAAACAAAAGCTGCGGCCACCCAAACATGTTCATATACATAATTTCCAAAAGTGTACACACTGTTATGCGATTGACAGCAATGGCGCATGAAAACAACATATAAAACAGCTACAATGAAATAAAGCAACTACCCTGTGGTAAAAACTCTCGAAACAAACGAAGTAACAAGTTCTAACGCCAGAGGTAACCAAAAAGATGTGAAAAGCAACATTAACCAGTAGTCTACATTGAGATAAGCTGCAAATAACTGCAGGATAAACGTACAAACATGTGTGTGGACGACCTCTGAGAAAACAGCAATCCAACATGGACGACAAACACCGACGTAAACGACCTTCAACTGACTATTGCAACCAGTGACCTTGAGCGCGCATAATATTTTCAACCTTTGATACTAACCGTTGGTACAAGGGCATTCGGCCGTGGTAACTATTCTTAAATATAGCTGGATAGGAAAACACAAACCCTTACAAAATAATTTCATAGTCTGTAGGCATTCTATTCCAGAATCTGCATATATAGCGGCAATTTTGTATATTTGGGAACCTCAAGGTCGTCCTTAGGCCGATGGTAAGGTGCCTATGTGCTTAGTTAAGGCATGATTTATTGTTAACTGAACATATCTCTTAGTAAACGTAAACTTCTTTAAAATCGTATAATGTTGGGATGTATACATTTTTCTCTAGAACATTGCTTAACTTTCGAATTTCGTATTATATGAGTTTCTTGGGAATGTTTTTATTATACCCAAGCTTACTATGATGCTGAATTAAATCAGGCTAATTCTGAGCTAACTCTGAAATTCTATCATGGGTAAATTCTGAAATTACTGTGAAATGGTTTGATTATTTTCACAAACTAGAACTCAGTGCTTGTTTTCAACATGACGTACTAATTCAGCACTGGTTTTTCTAGGCATTTTTAGAAGTATCTCAGAACCTACTGAGTTTGCTAATAAGCTTTGTTTCAGACTGGGTTCAGTACCGACTGGCATTGCTTTAGATCAAAAAGACCTATTTCAGCCCATATGGGCTGAAATTACACTGTATAGTGCAATTTTTTCAGCTGCGAATCCTATTTCTAATGTTTTGTCGCGTTAATTAGACGTCCAGTGCTCTTTCTGAGAAATATCAGCGTTATTTCAGTACATATTGGGTACATAATAGTCGTTTACCATAAGGCATTATCGACGTCTAGGTTACAGTTAGTTCAGAATTGTTGTAAGCTTGGATAGATTTAGGAATGATTGGCGTTATTGTTAGGTTTAGAAGATCTAGGTAACTAAGTTCATAGAATGTGGCTAAATTACTCTGTTGATACCTCAATCTAAAGCTAAGAAGTATTTTTGTCACACGTTAAAGAAAGATATCATGTGTAACTGTTTCATGCCTCTTAGTGCATTATTTTCATGAACATATATGTTTTGCATGACGTATACATATATGTATTTTATACGCAAATATTGCCTCTGCCATGTGGTCCTTGCGTTCAAAGTCATTTATTCGTCCGTATTTACTGGTGCTAAAAGTTTAATTTCGGCCTGTATACAACGTAAAATCGTTTCGGTATCCACGTACAAAGTATTCGGTTCACCAGTTAGAAGTTGAAAACCACTAATAATACGCATTTGGACAAATGAATATTTGAGAGAACAGGACTGTAGGCGTCTGAATGCTCGGTTGTATGTATAAGTTGCAAGAATATTCTGAATTCAGGAATGGAATTCAGGCAGTAATTAGTGGTGGGGAGAACTAGCTGCATATTTTACTCATAACGTCATATGTTTCGACGATTTGAAGTGATTAGGAAAATATTCAGGTCAGTGGTATAGATAAATACAAAAAATAATTTAAAGAGTATGGAATGACGTAGTCAGTGGTAACCTAAAGTTAGAGTAGGTGGGTTGAGACAAAATGCAGTTACCTCACTATGTAAGGGAAGGATTGACACTAATGTCCTTCTAAATGTAAAAGTCAGGTTTTAACCGTTCTGGAGGTAGGTAGTAGACTGGAACTAACTTGTACTTTTATGATCTTGAATAATTCTGGAAGGTGTATTTCGTTACCACTAGGTGACGGGCGACCGTCCCACTGACGAGTTTTGAATCTTTCTGTTGAAAGTCCCTTAGATTATGCTTAGGCATGCCATCATAACTTATTTTTGTTCGTTCACTCTATGTGCTTTGGCAAGTACATGTATAAGTCTGAACAGTTGTTGCTTGCCACTGAATCGGAAAGTCAACCACGGCATAATGACCCATCGTCATATTGTCTTATTTTATAACCACATAGCTAACAACTTCCAACCGAAGGTAAACCGATAATGCAACGCCTCACATAGTGTTTTCAAGCTTTATTAAGTAACTACTCATTCATTTCATCATAATACATATAGACAGCCTAATTTTACATAAAATGATTTTAACTGATTAAAGATGCCCACTAGAAATTTCAAAAGAGTGATTACTGAACATGGAATATTCTTTTCGATAACCTCATCAGGTTCTGCAGTTATATATCGATAATTACGAAAAAAGATAATTGTTATGACAACATTAATGTCGTTTAAAAGTAACATTGAGTCATTGACATCAGAATTCCAAAAGTTATTTGCAAATAGATCCTTATTACACTATAGTCCAAAAAATGTGTGTGTTAATATGTATAATACAATAAAATAATTTTGTGGGAAATGACGTTGCATGCATATGCTCACTCACACTGAGTGTAGGATCAAAAAACTTGCCAGAAAGGGAAGTATGGACTACCTCTTTGGGATCTTCGAGACACTGGAGACTTGGTAAAATGGCTCAAAATCGTCCTCAGTGGCGCAGATGAATTCACTATTTGTGAACTCCTAGATTAATCAAATACTGTTTATTCTCCATGTAACTATTCACTCTCCCGAGCATTTCCGTTTATTATAGTTTCACTGTCAACTTAAATTGCTGCAATGTTGTGTAAAGTTCTACGTTAAAGATTCATTTCAGTGTTTTCGAAATGAGGTTGTGACGTACATTGGGATAAGGTGTGATTAAACATGTAGAAAGTGCATTTTTATTTACTTCAGATGACGAAGGTTTTTTAAACTCACCTTTTGATTGTATTTTATTCCCCAAAACTGCGATACCTATCTGGTGGTCCTAACACACGACAGTCAGACGTGTAAAGTCTTATTTGTGTAGCTGTATCTAATAATGAAGTTTAGGGTGCGCGTTCTACTATATTTAAGACTTGCCACCTCATTTGTCCTGACACGTCAGTGAGTGAGAGTAAAACCAAGACTTTGTTTTAAAAACTGAAGCATGTTAACGAGTTGGTTGGAGCTTAAGCAATGACAGAATCATGTCATATTTTTGTTTTGAAAGCCTATGGCTCTTTCTTATCCTAGTTGTGATTCAGATAATAGTGCACCTTGTAATGATTTGGAGCTCGATGTCAGTAAAGTCGTATTCCAATCGGCAAAGGTTTACCACTCTGTTTTCATTTTTCAATATTGAGATATTGTTGACAAGCTACATCGAACAATAATGGCACTGAGTCCAATCCGTAATTTGCAAATTAGTTCCCAGTGGTATCTGAGTTCAGTTAAACCTGATACACCAATGTTGAGTTAGGCATCAAAAGGCCGTCAGGCGTTTGATCGCTTCGATCTGGCTAGCAAACACTACTAGTTGATGTGAATGGTATGCAATTACTTATCCCAATCAATCAAAGCAAATGATTATATGTTATTAAGTTCCAGTTCACTAGGGAAATATAGGCACCTACTAATTTGGAATCCAAAACAAGTGATAGTTGAAACGACTTAGAAATTGAATCAATTAACCCCTTTCAGACATAAATCCAAGATTTCGGCGACGAAAGTCCTCTATGTGACGACTTCACTTCCAAAGCTGCACAGTTGTATTTATCTAGACAGTAACGGGTGCGTGTTTTTTATGTGTTAAAATTTGACAGTGAGTGAAAATATTGAAGTGCAATAAAATTGTTCAGACTGTTATAAATCACAAGTTGATTAGAAATATGAATGAATAACGAAAAGTCAACACAGCGTTCAGCATACATGAGTGATTAGAGATTAAAATAAAATTTTATTTAATTATTTATTTAAATACAAACTTGGTACGATGTGAGCATCAAGAAATGCCCCACACAAAAATAAAACAATGTAAGAAAAATAAAATTAACGAGGAACAACATTAAGAAAATAACTATTTATAAAGAGTATTCAGAGGTAACTCATTACTTCAAGTTACTTCCAGGAAATTTCAGCATGTTCGCCATCCATTGCGATTTTCATTGGTGTGTGACAACGTCTCGAGTCGCTACTGATTCGAATTATTTCTCTGACCCCACACAGAAGTCGTGACGCAGTTATCCTTCATCCCATGGCGCCACATTATGGGCTGACTACTCCGCTTTTCCATCCAGTATGGTTGCTGCTCGGATGACACTCGTGGTACACTTCAGAGCCACTGAAGGTAGTGTTTCAAGAAGACAGAACTTGTTTACAATCGGCTCCCACCGTGTCCAAACACACCACGAGACCTCTGGATTACTTACACGACGACACCACTGTGTGTCAGAAATTCTATGGAGTCGGCAACTACCGAATACATAGAGTTATTGCACATCTGCAGCTTGAAATGACGAGGTGTCGCAGACGTGGAGCAAGATTATATACACCGAAGCATTGTAAACTCAACCTTTGACTGCTTGGCTAACGTCGGGATAATATCAAAGGTCGCCTAATTTGGAGCGTGCCTCCCTTGTTTTCACTATACTTATATAGGTCTCATCTAAGCTACCATCTTCATTTGCCTTGTATAAATCTTTGAACCTACATAGTGCAATAAGTTTGCACACTATTTGTTAATCTATACGGCTTCCAAAGTGATATTTTTGTTGTTTTATATGTACATCAGTTGAAATCCATTTTCTGATGTAAACTTTGTATCCTGTTTATTTGTTTCACCACTTTGGTGAATGTTGGGTGTGATAAGTAGTCGTATTTTTTAATTTCAAAATTTAGTTCAATTCAAAAAAACAAAACAATTTAATTAGATTCATCATATAAAAATACTTAAATGAAATAATTAACATATCATGTTCTGATTACTTTCAGGCTTTAAAACCTTATTTAAATGCTGTTAGGCATACTCTGAATGCAGCCTTATGTGTTCAAAATTTCTCATCACAAGTTGTTGAACGTCATAATAAACCTGAAGTAGAAGTTAAAACATCTAAAGAACTCTTACTGAATCCTGTTGTTATTAGTCGAAATGAAAAAGAGCGTGTATTGATTGAAGGATCAATTAATTCTGTACGCGTCAGTATTTCTATTAAACAATCTGATGAAATTGAAAAGTTACTTTGCCGGAAATTTACTCGTTTCTTAATGACTCGTGCAGAAGATTTCGTCATACTTAGACGTAAACCTGTTCCTGTGAGTTCATATTTCAAATTAATGTATAAACAGTTAGTATCATTTTTTTAGTACAATGACAGCACCTACAGATTTAAACTCGTTGGGGTGTTTATTGTTTAAGATTTGCCCTTCAGTGGGTGTTAGTTATGAAGCGAAAGACAACCAGTTGTAACTTGCGTAACTCCAGATTTTGATGATTGCTTACAGCTTCTTTATTAGTTATTTATTAGATAGTGAAATAGTATTTCCTGGTTGACGCTTTGAAAACAACTTATTGTTCATAATCATAGTAAAAATGTAACGCCACAACTTCGAAATTTGTCTTTATAGTTTTAGCTGCTCTCCTATTATATCATTCCTGTTTCATGTATCCACAGTTGATGTGATAAACAAAGTTTCTATTATTTATCAACCTCTCTCCACCACCCCATATTCAAATTTCGAATTGCCATTTTATCCCATGTTATTGTATGTTTGTGTAACTGTATGCAGTGCTATATCTGAGCTTCTTCTAGATTTCTTATCTTGGTAATGTTTCGCTAAGCGTTTTCACGCCCATCTTAGTGGCCTTGGCTTACTGGCTTGGATTCGTATTCACTGCAAGAGATAAAGTGTAAGACCACATTCTATAAGAAATCACTTGTAGAAAAGCAGACAAATGCATAAGATAGGATAAAAGCATGAAGTAGAAAGACGTACGATGTATACTTTTAGATTATTGATCCGGTTGGACTTTAACCTTGTGGTTTGAACTATAGTCAACCACTTATATGTCAACCGAGCTTCCTCTAAACTGATTAGTCCTTTTCTCCTTCCAGGTGAGTTGGTCTTTGTATAATCAGGTGGATACAATCCTCTGTTGCATCACACTTGAATTCTCATAATAAAATACTAAGATAAGCAGTTGTATTTTCGTTTTCAAACGATCCAAAACCATATGAAGCAAAGTCCCAACATGTGTATTCCTTAGAATCCATCGTCATTGTACCACCACCTGCGTGAATGATAATTTAAAACTTGTTGGATTTGTGACAATTTTAAACTCACTTTAGAATAATTAACATAGGGTACGTTGGAGGATGCTCATTTAACTCATCAGTTTCTTCATATTTCATACTGCTCACTAGGCATACTTTTATTTTAGGTGGTGATTACAAAGAATTCGTATGGATTAATTAGGCACTAAGTCTTGCCTGAACTTATAATTTATCTATCATACATGCTGTTTTAAACAATAACTTCTGAAGATTTGATTTACTGACTAGTACATAATGATGTATTAGTGGTTTGGTGCAGGAATATAGATATTGGGGTTTTTATTTTAAACTATATGCAAACATCCTAGTCTGCGAACATATAAAGAGATCTTGGGCGCACTTACAGAATTTAATTGTGGATTATATATACCTTTTTGATAGCCATTACTTTATCACTGTATATGTGTTTTGTTAAAGAAACAAATTTTGCATATAGTTTAAAATACAAATGATAATTTAAGTATTGGTTCGAAGGGATTTGATTGATTGCTTACAGGATTTCATCATGAGCTGACATCGGCTAGAGAACCGTCAGAAAACCTGCTGGGAGTACTGGACAGCTGTTTCGTCCCAGTTTGGGACTCTTCGCAGTACGCACCTGGGGTTCTAGTGGGAAGCCTTGACCAGTCGGGCGTGAGGACAAATGCTTGCCGAAGACATTGGCTAGTGGCTGGCAGAAGTTGGAATTCATGGACTGGTCATTAGATAGGGTCCCAGTGGCTTGATGGTCTACGAACTCGCCTTGTAACTGGTAGGTCATAGGTTGTGAACCTGGTGGTGGGTGCGTACTTTTGAACAGTCGCAAACTAGGCTGATTAAACGGCTGTCCAGTACTCCCAGCTGGCTTTCCAATGGTTCTCTGACTGACGTCATTTCATGATGAAATCGTGTGACCAATCAAACCAAATCCCTGTAAACCAATACTTGAATGTTATGTACCAATCCAGTCATATATTATGTCGTTAACTTTTTCATTATTTCGAGTTAATGTGTCAACTCTGATACTTGATTCTAATGTCCAATTGATAGGAAACACCACTGACTACTAGTTTACTTTGATTGGACACTAAATAGTCGCTCGCCCTTTAACCAGAAGGTCCTGGGTTTGAACCCTGGTGGTGAGCGCGTGCTGATGAAGAGTCCCAAACTAGGACGAAACAGCTGTTCAGTACTCATAGGTTTTCAACAGTACTTTAGCCGATGTCAACTCATGATGAAATCCTGTAACAAATGCTAATTATTTGTTTGCTTTATTCAACTGTATACAAAAACTTAGAATTTTCAAATACTATCTAGTTTTCAAAGTTAAATCAATAACTTATTGTCCAGTATGTATACTAACCATCTACTTTCGCACAGCTACATATAATTACTTAATGTGTTAGAACATTATTAATTATATATATATATATATATATATATACCTTTTCCATTTGCAATTCAATTTATATCTGTCGCCATGTAAGTATTAAGAGTAAGCAAATTTTAAATCATGTAAGTAACAGCAACTGACTTAGGTATGACACTAACAATCTTCTGTGTTCAACTTTCTCTTAAGTAAAATATTCTTAAGAGCTAGTTTGTAGGGACTTGATTTGTTTCAGATTTGATCACATACCGATATCAATTGGTGAGTCATTGGGAACCAGGGAGTACTGCACATCTGTTTCGTCCTAGTTTGGGACTCTTCGGTAGTACTCACCCATTGGAGTTCGAACCCAGGATCTTCCAGTTTACAGAGCAAGCTTGCACACACCATTCAGCTAATCAGACCTGCTAACGGTCGTGTTGAAATCACGAATAGTTAGTTTCCATATTACTTTCAGTTTAGTGATGATAAGTGTTGTGTCATTTATCCGAAGACAAGCTTTGTTAAACATGCGATTGTATCATTCTGTGTAGTATTTATCTAGGACGCGTAACTTGTGCTCCACATAGCGCCAGCATAAATTCACAGTATGCCTTCAAAAGTAATCAGCATTATTGTATGACAAATTTTGATGGAATATAGTTTGATGCTCTATGTCTTGGATATTTCACTTCTTATGGACAATGAAAATAACAGTGTACAATTTTATTGCCTCAAATTCACCGTAAATTTGTGCAGTTTTTGAACAGATGCTTACAATCATACCATAGTTTTCTTTTGTAACCCACCATTCGTTTTAGTCAGTGCATACTGGTCGATTACTTCTTGTGCAAACGCTAATAGTTCTTATCACTTTCATAGTTTTAGTTGTGATACAGTAAATCAGTTTTCAAAGTGTTAAATTATGATAAAGTGCCAGTAGTTAAATCTATAGCATAATAATTAAGGCCGAAATCACAAAGCTCAAGTTTTCGAAATTCAGTGGTCTTAACCTTGAAGGATTTACTTGTTAAACACCGGTTATTACCCCTGATCCAGCTCCTCAGTTAAATTTGCTACACAGTGTTGTTGCAACACGTAAAAAATATTGGAGCGTATTTGATGCCTGTTGATATCGTAAAGTGTTATTTAAATTCCTACTGTAAGATCATGACATCGTCTTATTATGCAGATATAAGTGTGTTTTTTGATTAACTTACCACCTAGTATCCAGTTTCAGTCAAATATAGGATATTCTGCGTACTCGTTACGTGTGCTGAGAATACTATACGAAGACATTTTTACTGTGTTACTCTGTGGAACTTGTGCGTCGGTGGCACAGCGGTAGGAATGCTTGCCGACCACGCATGTGGTCTGGGGTTCGATTCCTGGCCGGCGCACTCCTTTACCTCGCTAAACCAGTATTAAGACTGATAAAGAGAGAAGGTTGGGCATGAGGCCAGCAACCCCATCCCGCAAAAATAAAAAACCACTGCTGCCGAAACTTCAAGGCTGTAGCGTGAAGCTATATGTTCCACTGGGAACGTAAAGGAAACAAAACAAAACTCTGTGGAACTTAGGTTTCGGACTTTATTGTCACCTTAAGTATTCTAAAAAGTACTTGAAACCTATAAGGATACATTTATATCATGAATGCCTTCATCATCTAACTCAGCAACAGTGTCATTAGTTTCTATTTGTTTTGAATGATTGACAGATTGATTTCAAAAATGGTACTTTATTGATTTTGTTTATTTGATGTAGCAAACATTGGATGACGTTTTTTGAAAACACAATCTCTACTGATCATGATCATATAAGGATAATTAAGTCACACTTATGGAATGTCATTCAGTAAACACTTCTGTTTCACTATATGCTGCGTAAACAAAATAAAAGAACTAACATGGAATTATATTCTGTCTATCACAGTGTCCAGGTTTTATGCTGATAAGCACTTTTATGTTATAAGTGCACTAATGATGAAATCAGCAGAGCTAAAGAATACTTCTAATTTGATGTACTTTTTGAATGGATTTTAGATATCTACTTTATCATTTTTCAAAAGGTTAGATACGGAACAAAGAGGACTCTTTTCGATAAATTCATCATCAGGTTCTACAATTATATACACATTATAATGAATGAATGAATTAGTCTTATGAACGACATTAATGTTTAAATAACATCAAATCAATACTATTGATAAATTACAGCTGAACAGCATCAACATAAAATAAACTGAATGTCAGAAGAATTAGGAAAGATAATAGTACAAATTCATGAGTTTATAGTTTCTACTGAAGGCCAGGACTTGTTTCTTTTGAACACAGAGCACTGTTTGTTTTAGGCAAATTGCAATAGCCTCTGCTGTTTGGAGCATGCGGTGCTTCGATGATTTTGGCAATTTATTAGGCACTCGGTAGATTATAGAGAAGGATTCTTCTACGCTGGCTTTGTGGCCGGTTTGCACTACATGGTCCAATATCGAACTGTTAATGGTTTTAACTACACCTTTACTTAGCCATAGTGGGAGATGTTCTCGAGCACGAAAAATCAAGTTCCTAGAGCAACGGCCAATATAACTCGCCCCACAAGTGCAGTTGAATTGGTAGATACAATTTGAAGTGGCTAGTCTAGGTACTTCATCTTTCAGTCGAGGTAGCACCATCGGTCGTGTAGTTCGCCATTTATCATTTTTGTCTAGTTTCTTTCTAGTCATCAATTTAAAATGTGATGTTCACTTTTTTTCTCTGTATTATAGGGTTATGATATCAGCTTCCTGATTACAAATTTTCACACGGAACAAATGTCAAAAACGAAATTAGTGGATTTTATAATCACCTTTATGGATGAAATTGATAAGGAAATTTCTGAAATGCGTTTAGCAGTCAATTCACGTGCTCGTCAGTGTGCTGAGGAATTTTTGAAGGCGTTTGATTAATGCATGCCTTTTTTTAGGATTAATATTTTCCTTCAGTGATATTTGTTAATTATTTTTTTTGCTAAAGTCACTTATGCGACACATCTTTTCTAACCTAATCTTTTAATCGACAATGACTTGTTATTAATAATAAAGTATTTTTTTGTTTATGTCTCGTTTCTCTGCATATCTTATATCCTAAGGAAAAATTGATTTTGATTTCTTTGTTATTTTGAAGTGAAAATATTAAATAGTCTGACGTTTCGCGTCAATGAAGACTAACTTGTTTATCAGCCGCGAGGGATTTAACCTCTAGTTCTTCAAGTTTGTTGATTAGACTCACTCAGTGGAAGAGTTTACCTTTGTATCCATCACTGGGACGATTTTCTAGCCAAAATGGGACTATGAGTTTATGTATGTATGTGTGTGTGTCTGCTTGTAAGGTTTCATTTCAAAATCGAGACTAATTGAATTTATTGCTTCATAGGGTTTAGTACACTGTATAGTTCACTAAGACCATGTCGACAGTTGAATACAGTCATGCTCTTTTGGAAATTTTTCTTTCTACCAAGATTATACTTTGAATTTATTCACTTATGCCTGTTATGATGCGAAAACCTTAAGTCAATAAAGTTCATAATGCTGATAATTGAAATTTGTATCTTTGTAATGGTTGGGTGACACTTGCCGCAAAGAAGTGTATGCACCTACATCCAAGTGTAAGCATAGACCCGCGAACTATTTTTCTTCTGCTAAATAAAGTTATGGGATGTTTCAATAAGATAGACTGTGAACATTTTTTTGTTGTTTGTCGGCGGAAATCTTGCATATGGAACGCCATACTTTTATGATCGAGGGCTATGTGGCGTTTTCTTCCTGGAATTGGTAGGCCAATGAATTAGTTTTCAAGAGTTATTTTGTGGGGATTTGATTTATTTGGAGTTTGACCACGGATTAATAACAGAGATTTTAGAGAACCAGGGAGTACTGGACAACTGTTTCGTCCAAGTATGGAATTCATTGGCAGCCGATGACACTGGCTGGTGGTTTCACTAAAATCATAGATTAGCAGAAGGTAGAATTCAGGGGCAATTGAGTTGGGTCCCAGTGACTGAATTGTCTATGATCTTGCGTTGTGGTGGGAAGGCCCTTGGTTTAAATGCTGATCGGTGCTTGCTGTGAAGAGCCTCAAAGTGGGACGAAACGGCAGTGCGGTACTGTTTGGTTTTCCTATGGTTCTCTAACTGATATCAATCTGCATTCAAACTTAAAGCATTAGTGTATTTAATCTTACTGTAATGCGTTTTAGTCATTTCCTCTGCATTTATCAGTGGTGGCATATTTTTGATGTTTTGGTTAGTATCAGGCTTCTAGGAATTCTGGCCTATTTTAGTATTTCCACTGTCCAAAACTTACCCAGTCGCACTAGTGTTATAATAAACAAAGTACTAGTTAGTGTGTGATTATGTGGTTACTAAATCAGACTTGTATTGGTTGTTAGTCATTTTAGTTTATAAGAAGACAATTATTGTGATAACCACAATGGGGTCACGTTGGCTAAGTTGCTATTTGGGATCTTGGAGTACACAGGCAAAGAAGTCTAAGTTGGGCTCAGGAGAAACATTTTTAGAGAGTTTGGCCAAGTTGTGGGCATTGACGAGGGGTAAGATCACATTTTCACCCCTCCACAGTTCCTGGAACCAATGCATAATTACTGGTGTATATTAGGAAGTTTCGTTTGACCTTATTGACAAGGTGCCATTGTGACACCATTTGAGTTTGAAAGGGGTGCCGCCAATATCTGTCATGTCACTGTTACGTAAACCGTGTAGATCTGTCATCTAAAGGAACTACAAACAGTCCTTTTCGCTCTCGCTATTTCTGTTTAATCTTCTAAATGTACTAATGATGTGAAAGTCGCATGAAGGCAGTGAAAAAAAAGCTGATTATTTGGGTACATTGAAGTACATTTGGCGTCGCTACAACATCCGACTACCTATTATTTAGTGTGTATACTGTGCAGCTGTTTTTCCAGTTCCGCATTACTTCACTCTTCCCGTTAAAGTTGTCCATTTGTACTGATGCGAAGAAATATATCTCGTGTCATTTAGCTTATACTTTACGTTATTGGGTAAGAAGGCAAACGATTTTTCAAAGTTTATGCAATTCTTCGTACAGATGATGTTGGTTTCAGCCTACATATGAAATCGCTGTTTAAGAGTGACATCCGATCCAAAATATTTTAGCATCCTAACACTGATTACAGAATATTTCTCCATATAAGTTAAGCTGATTACATTTGTAATTTCAGGAGATGATATTTTGCTAGTACCTTAATTTAGGTGCAACGCCATTTGTATCCATTTTCTAAAAAACTAAGAGGAATCTTCCACAAGTCCTTTTTACCACTGAAATGCAGTTGCAACTAAATATTTGATGTATATGTATTCACTTGTAGTGACCCGTTTTATTACTCATCATCGCAGTATACTTTCACTATGTAATTGTACTTCGATTTGTTTATTACTCTAAATCTTGTATGTTAACAATTGATACTTTTGTACTCGCTCGATTTTTGAATTTTGATTGCTGCAATAATACACTATCGTATTCCTTCGCAAGTGCCTTTTGAATTACGTTGTGGATATCGAGTAATCGCAACGTTAGGCAACAAATATAAACGCGAAGAAATACTAGAATATACGTGCACTCTAATTCAGTCAAAATATAGCAGCAACAAATTGGCGAGCCCGACATAGCTGATTGATGGACTACATCATTTCGAAGTATACACAGTGGAATAAGTCATCTTTGCCATCGCATTAACTTTTATAACTTCATAACATTTGGATGTATAATTACTGATATTTGTGCTAAAAGTACCTCCGGACCTGGCGGCACAGCGACTGCTATCCCAGTTCACCCTGATACTCAAGCAGCTGGCTGTTATGCAACACCTCAATTCCAGTTCTCTGTCCTCAAGCTTCAGCATTGTCTACAGGTGTGCAAACACTCTTACAATGGTCTGCAACTCCATTTACTCAAGCCGGTCCTACAGCTGTTCAATTACAACAGTTTACCCAATCACCTCAACAACAACAGATTCAAGCACAAGCTCATCACTTGCAACCAGCTCAACAGCCAACTTATATCCAACAACATCAGCAACAACCAACAATGATGGCAACTGACGTCCCTGTCAGTGGTCAACCTGGTACTGTAGCTGCACGCTCCTATGCTACTCCCCAGTTTATCATTCTGGCACCAGGAGCTCCATTAAAAGTCATGGCTGTTGGTCCTAACGGTCAGTTGATTCAAGCCACTGGTTTACCACAGTTTATGCCGACTACTTCTGTGGGAATGGCTATCAATCAACTAACTTCTACTCTCCAACCTCAGCAAACATCAATTCAAGTACTCCCCAACGCCGAGTAACAACACCCCAGCAACAACAACAACATACTAACCAACTTCCACTTCCAACCGTGTCAGCAGCAGCTACTGCTGCACTCTTCGCTGGCACAGCCATCTCTTCTTGTACAATTCCACTTGTACAACCAGCTTTCATGTAAATAGAGGTAACTGAATGTTTACCCAAGTCATTTTCATACTTCCTTATTACTATACTATTAAGTGTATGTTAAGGTATAAATCTATTCTGTAACTCTTTACAATAACAAACTCATTATTATTCTAATAATAATTTTTCTACTTTTATTGTTACATGTTGCACAACTTTCTAAACATTTTAGTTCGTTTCAAAGTTGTTAACATTTTCGCATATATACAGTTATATTAGCAAACCTCAAAAACTTAAAATCCTCAATTCGGTTTTCATACCAGAAACTCGTATATATTTCTTCTGTAATTATAATTTACAATATCATTCCGAATACAGGTAAACTTCATTTACCTGCATTCTACGGAGGGGCTATTGTAGTGACCCGTTTTATTACTCATCATCGCAGTATACTTTCACTATGTAATTGTACTTCGATTTGTTTATTACTCTAAATCTTGTATGTTAACAATTGATACTTTTGTACTCGCTCGATTTTTGAATTTTGATTGCTGCAATAATACACTATCGTATTCCTTCGCAAGTGCCTTTTGAATTACGTTGTGGATGTCGAGTAATCGCAACGTTAGGCAACAAATATAAACGCGAAGAAATACTAGAATATACGTGCACTCTAATTCAGTCAAAATATAGCAGCAACAGACTTTATGCGTACTTATATTGGGCATGGGGCTAGTGAACTCCTACCTCTGTGGGAATCTCAGATTACAGAAGCAAAATTAAAATGTTAATTCTCTATTAGTTAGGGGAAGACTCCTCATTCAGCGGACAGATAAGGCCGATTGGTGAAATCCTTCTGCAAGCCAATCAGTCTATGTCTTTTCCTTCGATGAAAAAAGTAAACATAAGAAAATAAAATGACCGCAGCATATCTGATATTGAAAAGGCTGCTGGAATTATTGAAAAAGTGAGTTTTTTGATCTAGAGTTGGGAATCTGGCAGAGCAAATGGAACGGGTGTGGACTTTCGAAATTGTTAACTGGATACTCAATAATCTACTGTAGTCACCCAGGTGACAAGTGTCAGTGTGGCTATCTTGTCAGCAACAGCATTGTTGGTTCTTGTGTAGGGGGGGGGGGTCAGTCTGCTTCAGGATAATTGTAGCAAGATTAAACTCAAAAGTTAGGACAGCTACACTTATGCAGTGCTACGCTCCTACAAGCAGCACAGATCAAGAGGGAGAGAAATTCGGCAGACAACTGCAAATAATGACAGACATGACCTTAGCCAAATAGCAGCATCAAGATTTGATGGGTAGTATGAATGCCGAGATTAGGGGTAAATGCTATAGAAGGAAAATTCATCATGGGTCAGGAGACTGTCGGCGAAATTACTGAGGACGGAAAACTGCTGGAAGGTTTCTGCGCCTCTAATGATTTGTTGTTCGGAAGCAGCGTGTACAGGCACAAGGACACACAAAAGACAGTGTAGATTTTGCCTG